CCCCACGTACCACTAGCTTCGCATAAGGAGGGCTTTGGATGCTTCCTCCTCTCCCCAAGGCGATCATCGCCACAAATAATTATAGAAAAATAAAGTCATAAAACATGAAAAGTCACCAAGTGATGCTCTTCCTAAAGCAAGTCCCTCTTCCATGGACATACTTCCTTGAGAATCCGTTGATTTCGGTTCTGCAACTTCATTCTGGTCTGATCGACGTTTTCTCCGCGTGTGAGTCCTATCAAGCGGACGACTTCGGTGTGGAGTAGTCTGAAAGAAGAACGCCCTAAGGCTGCGATCATACTTTTTCGATCCAAAATTAGTCGCTGAAATAGAGCAACTGCTGCTGTCAGGCTGCACAGCTAACATAGGACCCTCGAGTCTTCTGGTTCACATTGAGAGATATTCGACTATTTGTTCAAGATCAGGTAGAGGTTACAGTCCAGATGAGAAGTCTAGTAGAGAAGCAAAGGGCTAACGTAATTATGACAAAGACGCCACTCCTCAGCGCATCCATTTCCTTCCGTAACCAAGGTCTTAGAACGCAGACGGCCTGAGTCGCCACTGGCTATTTTCACGAAAGCAGACAATCTTTACGTGACCTTGATCATGACCGCTCTGAGCCTAAGCCGAGAAACGAAACAGTGGAGCTGCGATAGCATCCAAAAACTCGCCTTCGGAAGTAATACAAGGAGTGGGCACTCGCCAGAAAATATTTCAGAAAGTACGAGGCAGGTGTAACTAAATCAGAAGTTGCATTAGTCCAATGTTTAGCGGAAGAGAACTGTGGGTTGCAGTCGCTCGAGTCGCAAACTATGAACACTCTCCCACTCCTTGTATTCCTTCCGGAGAACTTGCAATCGCTAGTAAAGCTACGTGTTTAAACAAAACGCACCGAACTTTTATCACACTGGTAATCTTCATTTTGAAAAATGTCGAGAGCTGTATCGTCTTTTCCACGCGGTGCGGTGTTCTCATTCGATGTGCTCGGACACCATAAACTGTCGAAATCGGAGTTTGTCTCTGGAAACTGCTTTTATAAAAGGGAAAACACCTTCGAGCCATACATAATCGCAAGCCAAGAAGCTATCCCCACGAGACTTGAGACCGAAAAGAGGCCTCATCTACTGCCCAGGAGTCTGGTTCAGCACATCCGAGCAGTTTTGAAGGAGGCATTGCTAACGGTGTGCAGCGTGTGGCATTCACATCAGGACCAAACCGATCTAACGCGGCGAATGTGCGTCAAATCTATCAGCTAGGCGAAAATCCAGCACCCACTATTGCAACGACATAAGAACTTAAGCAATGGGTCGTTTCAGTGTTCAAGGTAAGCAGGCCCAAAGTCAAAAAGTGTACCACTTTAAGTCACTCGAAGGTGCATGCATAACAAGCTAGAGGCATGCGACTGCTCAATTTATTACTACTGCTGCCTTCGCCCGCCAAAGGAATACATCACAGAAGCTGCTCGTCTGCGCTGGAAAAGGGTACCAACTCGTCATGGCCCACCTCACTATTCATATAATGCACCTTCGGCCGTGATATTCAAAAACTGACACTCGTATCGTGTCAAACGATTCTGGAAAGCCACACAGCTGCATGCCTTATATATGCTGTTTCAGCGTTGCAGTGTCACACCACGCACCCAGCACAACTGCGTTCCGATGACGTAATTGGATGGTGACTGCGCACATAGGAAAGGCACAAAGGTTTGAGTCCCCCAATGCGAATGTCGCTTCTGCTCTACCGAGACACTGAGCTTTGCAGAACAATTTTAAGTAGCAGTTTGGCCGTCCATGCCCCTCCGGCTCTTTTCAAGCACTGTTTAAGAAAAAGCAAGATTAGTATATGTATCAAGGGCTCAAACCCTGGAGCAGCTTACCATTTAAAAAAGATGTGAAGGAGAGACTGCTTCTGCGCTTCCTTTTTCAATCACAGTTAAACTTTCGACGGCCGACAACCTGCTGGCTGGGAAAACAGCACCTTTGGAGAATCATACCAGTCGATCAACCCTGAAATAAGCTATTTAGAACGCGAAATTCGAGATGTAACTCTTCAAAACTACAGCTTTTCCGGAACCTAAGCAAGATGACGCTCATCTACAAGATAGCTTCAAAAAAAGAAAGAACAAGAACACGTGTGGAACAAACGAGATAATTCGTTTCACCCCTGATTTTGGACGCGCATTCCCTAATATTTCCCAACGTGAGCTTCCCAGTCCTGCGAAATGAATTGAAACCTGATTTTCGGAAATGCTTCCGACTCCGTACTAAGTAAACGTACAAACTATTCTAGTACGAAGAGGCATTCATTGCAGTAGCTTTCCCAGCGAAAAGAATCTTGGCGTTTTTCGGTGTCATTCGAACAATGCGTATGGACTTTCGCATAAACAAAAAGACGGTAAGGAGCTGTGACGGTTCATTCAAGGTAAAACAAAAGTACCTGCAGATTCCGGAGAACGACTGCCGATCCGAGATGGAGCAGACATATTCGTATGCTCTTGTGACATTCTGAAAAGGAAAATTGTTCTTCGCAATGCAGAAAGAATAGAACGAAGAAGAAAAGAGTAAATAACGAAAATTCATGTTCAAATGTCAGATTTGCCAGTGATAGCTGGTGCAATTGCATACCGCGAATAGCAACCGTAGTCCTACGCCTATATTTATTCGTCCGTGGACGAACGCGACCCAAATGTTCACATACAACAACGTTGACGAGTCGCGGAATCTGCTGAAATGGGGAATCAAGGAGTCAGGAGAATTGACGAAGATGATTTACATGTAGGCACTCGTAGCAAATCTCTCGAGGCGCCCAGGGGTGAGCTAAACAATCAATATCTATTTGACCTTCTCGGCCAATTTTCCCCATCCCGCGGTTCTCTCAAATCCACACCTCGGTAACGTTTCGCGACTCTTCCTTTTTTCAAATACAACTCTATCGTTTTGTTTGAACCCCTTTCGACTATTCAAATTTGGTTTTCCTCAGGGATTTCCTCGTCACATTTGAAGACATTATATTTCACCGCCTTTGTACTGTTGTTTGCTAGTTGTCACAGTGAAATGACATGGTCCAGTTCAGACTTTTCTAGTGGTAATGAGCAGTCGTCGAAAACCACACCCGTATCGCATCGCAGATTGATTGTGAAAGCACGTGCTTCTACTCGAAAATCTTTCAGTTATCCAAGAGTTTTTTTTTTTTTTTGTCTCATCCTTCCCCAATGTACGCATCTTCTGGAAAGTGTGAAGACGAGCAATCAGGACGAGTTTCTCAGCACAGAATATGTGCTACATGGTCGGCGTAGAGGGTTTACTTTGATAAGATTATGTGAGTAGTTTGTGACAGGAGTCGTGCTGAAACTTTTTCAGGGGGTGGAGAGGGTTCGTACTGACACCCGCCGTTATCCAACGCTATTGCGTCCCCGATGCTCACACCGCTGTATATTACATACAGTCTTGTTTTGCTGGCGAATGTTAGGGTGTAGAGGACGTGTAGGGAGGAGGGGGGAGGTTTAGCGCGGTGCCAGCTTTTTTTCATTAATGGAAAAGGGCAAATGAGAGAAAGCAATGGAACACGGGGCAGAATAGGTCGAAAAGTAGGAAGACCTTGAGGGGAGTTCAAGCTGTGAAAGCTTCCATGAGAGCATGTAGCCCCTCAACTCTCTACATGACCTCACGGAACACACGCAACATCGTTGTAAGTGAAATTGCTGTGGTTGCTCTCTAGAACAATGTCTTTCTTCCTCTCTCTATCACCTTCTCTTTCTCTTTCTTGTTCAAAGTGTCGTGGGACTTTCTTTCAACTGCATAGTCATAGTTGATATCGTCTCCATTCAGCGGTGTCAAGAGTCGGACGAGCCCACTCGTGGCTGCATTTTCCACCAATAGTGGGTGGTTCAGGTAGGAAATAACCAGTGGTCGAAAGCGGCGCGCCTTCTGGTAATGCCCCTCCTTTAGGATTTAGGACTTTATCTACTGTACGCTCAGGTTTTGCTGTTTAGAGAACAAGGTTTTAACGGTCTGGTGTTCACGCAAAATGCTTAAAGGTAGTGGGCACTATCGTGGGGTGGGTGCAACGCCATTGGTGGAAGGGCTGAACGGGGTGTGGCCAAATACCCTCTCGCACCTTCCACCAATGACGTTGGTAGTAACCGCCCGCCCCAGTGATGGTGCCCACTCTCTTTGATGGCATGTATACATAGATATTGGAGGTGTGTTCTTGGTCAAAGCTTGTTTGAAAAGTGATGCATAAAAGGCTTTATGCAATAGCATAAAAGGCTTTATGCAATACCAAGAATATGCGCTCATACATTCAAGATCCTCTATTTCTTCTTTCCTCTCTTGTTCTTCTTATCTTTCTTGCTTCTTTTTTCTTTCTTACTTCCCTTTTTTCCTTTTCCTTTTTTCTTGCGAGAATCTGTGGTTGTACCACCTTTAGTAGTCGAACTTTTGGTAGCTCCAGAAGTGGTCGTACTCTTGTCAGATTTTGAAGTTGTACCAGTTTTGGTGCTCTTGCTAGTGCGACTCTTACTGCTCTTTGCACTGCTGGTGGACTTTTTGCTTTTCTTCGATTTGCCGCCCTTTTTCCCCTTCTTCGACTGTTTCTTGCCTTTGGACTTTTTGCTACTGCCTGTTGAACTTCTACTGCTGGAACTTCTGGAACTCAACCTCTTGCGTCTTTTAGCACCCAGTACCAGACAATATATCAGCACCGGGATCAGAATAAGTATCAGAGATGATCGCCACGATCAAGAGAATGAGGAAGATGAGCCTGAAATGATCGAGTTTTGAGAGTGAGGAATGTGAGGAGGAGGGAGTCCTAGTTGCCTTCGAGAAAAATCTGTCTGAATCGAGAAAAATGAGAAAAAAATCTCGTCTCGGTTGGTGCAATTGCTGTTTTCCGTTTCACGTCCTCAGACATGTTCGCCTCCATATCTCATAATTGGCAAATCACCGTAGAACCACCAGTTTTGACAGTCAATCTTAGTCCCCTCGCCCCCCCTCCATCTCGACAGGCAGTTTCGTCATAGGGAACCGGTAAACATTTTGGAAAACTGGTGAAAGTGAAAGGGAGGAACTTGGGACAACGCAGGTAGGTATGGTAGATTTAGAGTGAAATTCAGGAGGAGAGGTAGGGTAGGGAAGGAGGTACTGCCAGCTGAGACAGGTTGGGAGAGGCGATTTCATTACGGCCATTTCATCCATCCACGATGCTCTATTCCTGGCTTTCCTGCGACTCAAAACGAACAGGGGGGGGGTGGGCTGGGGGGGGTGGGGAGGCAAGTGGGATAAATAAATTAGCAAAACAAGTACGACTTCCATACTGAACAGACTTTGTGGTTGGCCAATTATCACCTAGAGGGGCCATCAGCTATACTCGAAGATACGTGCCAGTTGAGCTATCGCTGTGGCAGCAGGTACATCGTAGTTGGGGAGGTTGTACGGTCAACTAGTACGGACTCTACCAAAATCCTCAACTAATGATGTGCCTTATGTGGCAGGCGTGGAAGCTACTTGAAGGGGCAGAACGGTCTAGTGCAGATTTGGCAGTTTCTGGCAAAACTGTTCTGTGACATGTGTCCATGGAGGAAGTAAGCCTAAGCCATATTTTCAAAGGTTGCTATAGAGTGTGGTCGTGTCTGCTGCGGATGATGGGGCGTGTCAGGCGGGATGGGTTTGGCGCGCCTCCAGCACGTTCTCCACCAGTTGTTGAAGCAGATGCGAACCAATGGAAAACTCGTGATACGAACGATATGATACAGTCCCGTCTCTTGCCAAAGTGAAAAGTAAGAACAAAAACGTTCTGGCTCCACGCCAAACCCGTCCCCCTTGACACGCCCCATCATCTGCAGCGAAAAAGACTGTATTCGCTCCCTTTCTTCGCTACTGCATCCTTCAGATATCACAATGTCCGCTCAGAAGGCAAATCGGGTCGAGCTCTTCCTGGTGAATGGCAAGCTCGTAAGCTACCCGGGTCTCGAATTTTGAACGGTGCAAGTGGCATGCGAAGGCAATGTAATCATGTCCGTGAGGCTCTCGAAAATCACACAGGCTCTGTCGGGGTTCCTATTCAGCGAGCTCCAGGTATACACTGACCACCCCTAGTTGGCTAGTAAGATCATGCTCATCAGTGCTGAAGTTGTCATTTTTGAACTTCTGAGACCAGTCTACATTGGTGTCAGAGGCGACCATTTGCGCTAAAAGCTTTGGGTCGAGCCTTCAGAGGAATCCTTGTGCAAAACTGGGTTCATCCCATTATGTAAATAAGGCAAATACTCTGTATAAATACGTTGTGATTGTTACCATATGAACAGAATGTGGCTATTTTCGGCACAGTTCGGCGACGTGGGAGGGGCATTTCGCACTTTCACTACTTCCCATCGCTGTGGAGCTATCGGAAGAGCTACTTCGTGAGCTTACAAGAGTTGGCAGGTTCATTTTTATTTATTATTTATCATGGTAGCTCAACGAATTGCTCCACCTTCACATGAGTTCACAGGTTTCACTAGGGTTCACCAACAAAATAGCAAAACGCTCCCCCTCCTCGTCGCGTTCTCCAATACAATCCTTGAAAGACTTACAAGTCCTTTTCGGGATCTATCCACGAGTGATCTGAAAGCATGTAAATTGTTGTAAAATATATTTGACTAAGATATTGTCCCCCACAAATCTTATTCGCAGCCTCAACGTGGCGCAAACTGTACCTATGCGGAGGGTACCATGTTCCTGGCAGGGCCTGGTGAGCTACGCGTGGTTCATTCACATGCCGAAAACAGTGATGGATATGAGCCTCATTCCCCTAAAGCTGAGGGAATCACCGACAGAGCGGCGTCGGATGGGACAACTCGGGAAGGCTTCAAGAATCTCAGGGCCAACGGAGAACTAAGTCGCCCAGGACTAGGATGACGATCTGTGCTTTCAACGCACGGACACTTGCATCGGAAGCTCACATCGAAGATCTGCATTGTTGCGCATGCCACCGCGAAGATCAATATGACGTCATTCGGACTGAAGGACCACGAGCCATCGCCCGCCCCCCTGGGAAAATGCGACAGCAGAGGCGTTGGCGGTGTGGGCGTCCTCGTCAGCACGCACTTGGCCATGAACATCAATTCGTCGTTGGGAAGATGTGGTTCAAGTCCGGCTTTGACAATCTTCTTCGCCTACGCACCAGCATCAAGCCATGACGAGGATTCGAAACTATGCTGGTTATGGTCTGTTTCGCTTCGTAGGGAGCTGCGCGACTTGGCGCGGCGCTAACCCGTTTTTCATATTTTTCTTCCGGCAAGCGACAAGACTGTGTCATATCGTTCGTCTCAGTCGTTTTTTACCAGTTGTTGTCACTTGCCCCCTTAAACAACTGTGGAGAATGGACTTGCGGCGGTCCAAGACCGCAGCGGCTGCGTGGACACGCCCCATCATCCACAGCGAACATGACTGCAGCATTTGTTGCTATGTCAGTTTGTCGTTCAGTAGAACTGTCATTGTGTCAGTCGATCTTCCGCTATATCCACCTCTCCGCCTGTTTGTCTGTCAGGGCGTCTACAAATCCCTATCTTTTGGTTCATACTAGTGATACGGTTGCAAAGGGACCCTCCCAATATTATACAGGGGCCGAAAAAATGCATTCTCTTATGGAGCGTCGTCATTAGGCCTATTTTCCACGAAGGGACGAGGTGGGGTTGTATGTGTTCAGTCCTGGGAGCGGGTTAGCGTTTAGCACTCGGCGCATCCCTCTAGCTTACACCTCACTGCAGAAGATCCTGGTAAGGATTGTTACTACAATGGACACCTGTAATCAGAAACAAGTTTTCCCGACGGTATTTATGCACCACCAACCCTTCTCTGCGCTGTTAGCGCTTAGCTTGAACGGAGGGGGAGGGAGGGGAACGGGCACCTCGTTAGCGTTCTCAACATGTAAGGCTTCTCTGTAGAGCCTCGTTAACGTTTCTCAACATGCAAGGCTTTTCTGTGGAGGCTTTCGAATGTTTGTAAACTGCGAAATGGTGCGAAAGTCACCTACATGCCATTCCCCTTTTGTTTTTGTTATGTTTTACGGCATTCAATTCAGAGAGGAGCAAGGAAACGATTGTGAGCCAGGAGATGAGGTTCTTCCGTGGTACCAGGAAGAAAGGCCTTCATGGTAGATTAACGGGAGTTGACGGATGTTTGCAAAATGCCCTCTAACCACGCAAACTGAACCTTGTATACCTTGCGTACCTTTGTGACTATGTTGACCTTGTTCATGTTGTAGGACTTCGTCGTAATTTTCAGCTTTTGTTTCGTCCAGGCTTGCTTCTGGAAATTATTGATTGAATTATCCATTCAGAAGAAGCTACTTATCCCGCAGGTGGAGTGGGCGTGATGCCGGATTTATTTGTTCCTAGTGACGGACGAGTCTCTGGCATGCAAGCCAAGACTCCGATTTGCGCATTCTTCAAAAGTGGGCGGGGCCTCTCACAGTGGGCGGGGCTTCACGTAGCAGACCAAAAATGCAAAAATTTTGAAAAAATATCAAAATTCCGCAAAAAGCAAGTGGGCGTGGTCAAGGGGGCGGAGCCTAGATCGCCAAACCCTTTAGAGAAAACCCAAACCCTATGTAAACCCAAACCCTATATATTACATATAACATACATATACATATATACCTGAAAACGCTAAATCGATACCTATGCTTTCCTTGCCCTCGCTACGCTAGCGTACGCCAGCGTAACGCTAGAGTATTCTAGCGTTACGCTAGCGTACGCTAGAATACTCTAGCGTTACGCTAGCGTACGCTGGTGACGCTAGATCGATATCCATCCTTCCCTTGCCACTGCTGCTGCCTGGAAGCGCTAGCGCACGATGGCGTACTCTAGCGTTGAAGTATAACTCAAAGTATAAACGCAGCCTAAAGGGAAGAATTGACGTCTCGTCGATGTCCCATCTTGAAGCGCTTCAGAACTGAACGAGTACTAGAAAAAGCGAGACACAGTAGTGCGGCTGAGAGACCAGAGATAAAAGATGAGAACCGGACAAACGCTACATAGGCCGGAGCCTCTGAGCGATAATATCTTCTGCGGTTAACTTTTCTCTTTTTTTCCCGTTTCAAGTGCGCTATACACTCAAATCCTTCCCACCGAGGGCGCATCGTTGTTGGGAAGTCCCCAACTGGGGGGGGGGGGGTCCTATTTGGCCGCCAGGAGAGGGGGGAGGTTGTATTTAGACTGAGAAAAATTTGTTTTGATAAAAGTTTGTAGGATGCGGCACGCATTCTACTTTCATTCAGAATCGTACCGTCCCCGGAGGGTAGAAGGCTTGGTTGGCCTGGGCGGCCTGGGATTCGAACCCAGGATCCGCGCGAGTGGTAAGCGTGCCACTTGTCACTACACCACCTCCGCCTCTGTAGGTGGAACAGGGGAGGAAACGCACCAAAGAGGGGGATTCCGAGGAGGGAGGGGGTACATAGCACAACCATACCTCAACGGCAGGACGTGCTTTGCTAGCGCATGTCCGGTCTAAATGGGAAAAGTGGTGTGAACATGGGAGGTGAGGAGCATTCAGGAAGATGGCAGGATGGGGTAGAGCGGGGGTCGCACCAGAGGAGGACGAGGGGGGTTCGTAGGCAGGACGTGCTCTGACGGTCCCAGGCGCATGCACAAACTGAACCGCAAAAAAGGAGAAAAATATCCGTGGTGTTTGCAGCAAAAGTGTACCCTGTACCCCAGAATTCAGGCTAATTGTGCGTAGTGGAATAGAAAAAAATCTCACTTGATTGAAGGTAGGTTTCTACACACTGGTGCTTAGCTGGATCCCTAGTCTGTGTATTCGCCCACATCGACTGAATGCTTTTAAATTAGTAATTTACACAATACATTCGATAAATTTGATAAGCTTACATTAGAAACTAAAAGCGCCAAAAATACAGCGTCAAAGGTGAAGTATCGTGCAGACAATGCGATGACGCGCGTAGACGCGCTACCTCGTGATCGCTAGTGTTTCAGAGGGGATACAAGGCTGTGGGAGTACCAGACTGTACGATCAAAGACAGCTCCCGCGATAAAAGTCTCATGGATATCTGCTTTCCAATTATGAAACAGTAGCTGATAAGTAATCTCCCAAAGAAGAAAACAGGCAAGACCCCTAGCTCACAAATCTCTCTATCACATCTCGCAGTAGTTGATATCATCCAGTGCAAAAAAAAGAATACAAAAGAAAACAACAAAAAGCGCGGGGGCTGTCTTTAAGCAACGCTCATCCTCCTATTCTCCAATTCTCTCTCGAACCATTGGCAATCGGCGCCAATCGATACCCTCTATGGCTGCGTTTCTGTCTTTAGCATATGAGCAAAGTTCGAAAGCTAATTAGGAGAACACAGGATAAAAGTTTTAGTCCTCCAGAAAAATGTAAAAGCTAGCAAATTCACTTCCATACATTGAACAGCCTTCAGAGCGGTTGTCCTGCAGAGTGTGCGAGTTTTTCCCGCGTCTATGGTGAGAAGCTGAAGGACGCTATTCCCGGGATAGGGGTGTTCTTAGGTTACGTTCATACTTTGTGTCAGCGTACGGTGGCATTTTTAGCGTTTTGGGCGCGTCTGAGCTTGAGCATAACTTCGCCCCCCCCCCCTCAAAGGCTGTTCAAGTAGTCGGGGGGGGGGTCATTTGCTAGGCTTTGACACTCTTCTGAACTACTGAAGACCTATATCCGGTGTTGAGAGGCTAAGAGCAGCCCCGGTGGCGTAATGCAAAGCGCACTCGGCCGGCCAGCATCTGGTGCGGGTTCGAGCCCCATCGGTGTGTGACTGGCATAGTCCTCTTCGTGAGGGGTGGCATTAGGAGAACGGAGTGAGCTCAAGCATTAGAGACACTCTGCTGCTGAAACACTCTTTCTCTCGTCCTTCACCTATACTCTCAAAATCAGTGGCGATCGGTGTTCAGAAAAGGGCGCACTGTTTGATAAAGGGTATCCCTTATAGGTAAGAGCAAGAAAAGCTCGAGACAGCGGATATACTTTGTGGCAATTCTTAAAGACACATGGTACGCTCAAACACATTGAGGGTGTATGAGACTATCAGCCCCCCAGCTGTCGATGTGTCGTGGTCCCCCGCCCAAAACTGCACGGGGTCAGAGTACGGGGCCGTGGGAAAGTCGTAATTCCTTGCTACGCCGCCCTTTCGCAAACTCACGTTTTTACTAACACCGTCCGCGCGGCGCGGTCGCGTGCAGCTCTCTTGGCTTTTTGCCAAGTCCTGTAATTGCGCTTGGAATACAAGTACAACGCAATTTCTTTATGCGGAATAGCTACAAATAAGTGAGAAAAGTTTTCGACTTTTCACTTAGCTTGGATTTCTCAAAATGGAAGGAAACATACCTGCATAAAGGTCATGTTCCCGTTGCAAAGATCCTGTTGACAGCCACACACAATGTGTTGACTCTGTTCACCGTAAAAGCATTTATGTTGGGAATACTGTAATCATGACCCTATGCATAAAGTGTTTCTTAACGGACATTCAAAGTAGTGCTCTTACGGTAAGCTCTTCAGCGTGTACGGTGTATTTTGCTTCATCGAATTGGCAGGCAGGTCCTGCTTTGAATGAGCACATTCGGTCCTTCTGCAATGTCGTTGTAATTGTGAAGCATTCCCTCATGCTAATCTCTCCGAATTGTTGGAGCTACAAGTCAGTGGTGGTAGTGTGTAAAGCACTCGGTCTGAGAGAAGACTCTGGACAACCGCTTGACAAGTGGCATGATAAATCGTCAAGGTTCCTAGAGTGTTACGCCTAGCACGAAAGATTATTAAGCCCCTTCCCAGGCGCCAGGTGACGCCTTCACCAACCAAGGGCACCGTTATGGCGCCTGACCAGGAGCAACATGCCAACCCAGCCCTCCGACCGTATCCGCCCACCCACAATGGCTGAACAGTCACAACGACGGTGGTACTATTATAGCGTGGAATACAATTTATGAGCGTTGCTACATGTATACGATACATATGTACAGCCTTGTCTATCGTAGCAGTTACTGGCACGATGCCAACGGGAAACTCGTCCAAAATGCTTGTCCAATACAGAATGAAGGCTTTTCCTGCAGGTTTTCAGCCGTTTGAATTGGTTTTTTCGTCTTTTTCCCGCGCCGATTGGCTATGTTATATCGAGGCAATATCGAATTATCTGCCTTAATTGATTTTAAATTTTTTTATTCATTTATTTGTTTACTTTAACTCGTCTCCTCTCTTTAAAGGCATATGCACGAATGATCTCGGTACTCTCCGCATCTGAAATGCCTCGTAGGTGCTGTTTAGGGGGCAGTGGCGAAAAACCGAAGTGGAAAGGTCAAAAACATGTCAAGAGGCTTCGCTTCATGCTATTTCATACTATTGGTTAGCAAATGAAGCAATATTTTGAGCACAATCAGTATGCGGTCGGACATTTGCGGACGGAGGGGGGCGGGGCTGCGTGGGCGTCCGCCCGTCGGTGTTTCAGCTTGACAGGGCCTCATGTACCTTCCTTGGAAAAGGCGCTACACAGCAGGGCGAAGCACAGCACAAGGGCGAAGTTCTTTCAGCTGCGAGCCGTATAAATCTCATTCGTTCTGGGGTTTATTGCTTCCAGCTGCCTTCTAGACCATCTTCAGTGATTCTATCACTCAGAGCCACGGCACTTTCTAATTGAGTAGAAGATGCTAGGGTACGAGCTATTGGGAGATTCACTAGTGGAAGTACTAGGAGAGAAAGACTTAGTGTCGACCTGAAAGGCACGCTCCGCGTTCATTTAGTGTTCACACACCTCCTTTAGACATGATAACTTCGCCCATGGACACATCGGGGCGCATAAACATGATCCGCTCGCAGCACAGCTACGGCCTCGCCCCGCCCGTTTGCGTGGCAACGCCCAACTTTCATTTCAAAGGGTGCCTTGGTGGTTCCCATATTTGTCGTTTTGGCATGGTTTTTGCTGCTTGTTTACTTTTGCGTTAATCGCCATCTTTTCATTGGTATTTGAGCCGCACATCTGACCGTTTTAGAACGCGCAGGTGCGTTAAGAGTTTTTGAGTTTTTTCGATTGCTGATTTTTCCCCATTCCGAGTGAGCTGTATTCCTCCTCCCCACTATACATCAGCTTTCAAGGAAAACCGAGAAAATGTCGGCAAAATTGGTAGAGACTGAAAGAGTTTGATATGGGAGTTGATAGGTTGTCGGAAATCTCGAAAGTTGCAGACACCGAGATTTTGTCCATCCCGATGCTGTACATCTCAAAGGGATTTTCTCAGGAATCTTACCCTTGTCTGGATGCTTCTAGCCCCCCCCCCTCACCACCTCAGAAAAATTTCTGGCTGCGATGATGTGCAACGTTCCACAGCGTCTACCACGTCCAGCAACGACCAGCAGCAAACTCCTGGTGGAGAGTATGGTGTGATAGGAGGGCGCCAGCTGTCTGCTACCCTCCTATCGCGGCATGCTCCCACTCCAGGACGTTGGTAGACGCTGCATTGATACCTATACTTCTCTAGCCCTCGAGACGCTGGTGGACACTAATGCTCGCTGGTGGACGCTGCCGCAAAGTATGTATACTCCTTATCCCTGAGACGGAGTAGGCGTGGCTTTTGAGCATGGCATAGGACGGGTTTCTCGTGGGATACTTCAATTTGAAACAACTGCTATCTTGTTCTGTGTTAGATGTAGACATGATTACGACTGCTCCGAAATGACAATATCTCACGAAAACCTGGGCCGCCGCCATTTCAAAATCAAGTACGCAGCCACGCCTACCCGATCTCAAGGATTTCGAGTATACGTAGCCTCAGCGCCAAGAATGTTAGTAAAATATGCAGCAATACGCACCTTGACATACACTATTTTATAACTGCTATCAGTGCCTCTGTAACATCGGAGGCTCCCACAAACTGATGAGACTAGAATACTTGTTACCACCAGAACTGAAATTTCCGCTCGTTAGATTGAGAACCATTGTTTACAGAGCAAGACGTAACGAACATGGCGCTTTAGGCTGGGGGTGGGGGGGGGCATTTTGCTGGTTTTTCACCTTGGTAAGATCTGTAACCTCTTGTAAAGCTGCGAATGAAGCAATGTTTGATGAGCTTCCGATAGGTCGATAGGAGCAAGAAAATGCCCCCCTCCCTCGACTCCCATCACTGCCTGCGTGTTATCGTTTTCTTCCACCTGCCATCAATATTCCCGTGTCATCCCCTGATCATGTCGGATCACCGCTCCTGCGGTGTCCGCTGTAGATTTGACGACACATCCGTTCCAACGCATTTCATCACCCATTATCGCTATCTACCACTTTTTCTCGCCCATCATCAATTCTCCTATCCGACCTCCTACGCACTTTGTTGGATTCATTGAACCCTTGTTGGTGTTATGCGCGTTTTGAACTCCATGGTACACTCACACATACCTTGCACGCACGCACGACACACGCACGCACGCACGCACACGCGCACACGCGCACACGCGCGCGTTGAGACTTCCCCTATTCTTGCCTCACCAGACTTTGCA